TTCCGTCAACAAGACAATGCAAAATCTTTATCTTCAAACTTGGTGGAGAAAGGGAGCACGGCCAAAAGAAGAACTCATTAAATGTTGGTATGGATCCAGATCGCCTTTTTTTTTTTCATTTAAATTGCAAGATAGGATATTGGCATTGGCTGAGGTCTGCACTCTCCAAGTGTCTATCTGGGTTAACTCCTGTCTTTATCCTGTGTCATGCTTTAATTTTATGCACTACATGTTGTTTTTATACTTTATACTATAGATTTGTTTCATATTCCACATCTGTTTTTGTCTTGTGCACACGATACTATCCGTTTCCACAAATCAGAGATCTGCCAGTTAGTTTAGACAGTTTATGTTACCATGGTCTACACCATTTTTTTTAATGAATGAATGAATTTTAAAGCAGTAAGATCACTCAACTGAAAACTGCAAATAACTATTTTGTCCACCGAGCTCTACAAGATACAGATCAATGTTGATACCTGATGGACACTGAGTGAAAAGGAATTTGCCATTTTCGTAATAATGGCCTGGGTGTGCTCGTAAGGACAACCATACCTAAAGAGAGGGGAAGTGTAGGGACTATGTGACAAACCCCACTAAACAATTTTTTAACATGTCTCCCTACTTCTTTTTATTTCTCTTTTTTTCACTCTTCTGCATATTTACTGTCTACTACATCACCGGTACCCAGTGACAACAAGAGAACAAATATAAACTTACCCTCCCAAAGCGTATTTTACCACATCTGGCCGTTGTCTGCCAGTTGTCTCATGTTTATCTTTGTTTATCCACTTATGTCACAGTAAAAGAAATTGTATAATAATGTTTTAAGAAAAGCACAACTCCACTCAAACAGCCTTACATTAGCTATTTAATACAACACTGTAACTAAGTTGAGTTCTATTTGTAATGTTAATCAGATTTAGTACTGTTTCGTCTGTGATTTTTACAAAACAGTCGACGACAATTGTTGATTAATTTAATTGAGGTCAGGGTGCTTTATAAACTGCTTATAATTACTGGTCTTTTTCATAAATGTGTTAAGATTAAAGGACATAAAACACGGGCTCACAACAGCATTCGTTGGCAGCATAAACTGAGGAATATCCGCCTTTAAACCTTGTACTGACCAAACCTCAGTCATTTATCACACTACTACCAACCAGCACAATGCTTCCTTGCAGCTTATGATGCTGTTCTGCACAGCAGTGTAGCTTCACGTCAAGCTCCATCTGGTCCTCCCACAAGCAGGGACAGAGTCTCAGGAGGATATCAGTGGGTTTCTGAAGCATCACCACAAGCTAAGATGGAGAAGGAAGGACTCAGACAGGGAGAGGATTTCTTGCTCTACTTAACACACTGATAGGGTGCCCAAACAGAGAAGCATCATCTCCTTGTTCACAGTGAAGGAACACAACATCACCACATTACATAACACTGGCTGAAGCATCAAAAGGGGATGTGCTCTCTCATGTGCCTGACATGACTAATTCTAGCTCTAAAGACATAGTTATGGTGGAAGGAGAGTTATTTTTTTCATGCTCAAGCCATCCATAGCTTCTTTTGGTCTGTGGGACAAATCAAAGAATGCTCCTTTTCCAACAGCACTGAGACCAGCTGATGAATCAATGATCGAGGAAAGACATGTTGGACTTCAGAGGGTTGACACAGTCCACCTGTGTGAAGATAAAACCTAATTTCCTCAACACAATCATGTCTTCTATGACAACGGATCAGCTGGTTCTTTGTTAATGTAGTATGTAAGTATCATTGGCTAGAAAAAAAAAAAAAAGAGAGAAAGTATGTGCTGAGGCAGCCGTGAGTGTTTGGTGTGGACGTATGCGGCTGGAGTGGCGCAGTGTGCCGGGTGCTTGAGGGTGAATGAAGAGGAGGAAGCCCTTTGACTAATCTCTGGGGAAGATAATGATCTTACATGCAGGCTGAACACTGTGTGCTTCTGGAGGACTGGTAATATAGGAGCTCGCTCATACAGAACTGTCTGCACCAGCTAGCTATAACAAAAGAAACATTTATTGAACACAGAACCCATGAACACTTCTTTCATAAATATGAACTCCCTCTGACATATTAAAGACAAACAACATTGCCAATAATGTACATATTATCAAAGCATTTGCTCCTTTAGTGTTTCTAGATTACATAATCAAAAAACTTAACCTTGTTCCTGTGTGGGCTACTTAAAAATCAATTTGGAAGTCATTACATAATCATATGCTTGTTTCTAACTGTAATATATGGGCCAGACTTAGCATCACACTGTAACCTTTTATTTAGTGCATCACACTGCATTCCTGGTATGAATATTCCACTACACATATGATCCAGCATGGTTGGCTTTTTGTAAAATTACAACTTTGCATAGCAGCTCTTTGCAGCCTGTATATAGTCCTCCAACAAAATGAATTACATGCTAAGTTACCCCAGAATGTTTGACTGTACATAAGACTGGCACATTACAAGTCCCTCATGGTGTGAGGAATAACTCACAAGTAAACCCCTGCATCTGTCTTTCTTAACAGGTCTCATGCAAACGCATAACCTCTGCTATTGGCCAACATGTGTGCAGTTTCATAATCGAACCAGAATCTAGCCTGAATCCACACAATCACAACTCACTCAAAGCTAGCTCCAAAACAAGTTTTTTAAACAGAGGTGAGATAAGAAAATGAGACAAGAAATTACTATTTTGTGACAGGGATCTATTTTTTTTAAAGTGCAATTGTTGACTCAATAGTTATGAAATAAATCATAAAACTTAGACAATGTTTCTTACACAATTACATATCAGATCAACAAACAGCTGAACAAGACCAATAATCTGACCAGGCATTCAGTGCCAGCACCTGATACGTCTCAATAATCAGTTCTTAAAGTTACGAGATCCCTCTCTACGCTCCTGTACAGCAACCTCTGTCAGGCACTTTCTTGCAGTTTCTGTGCTAAACATACCTATTTATTATATTAAAGTGCTGAGCAGACTTTGGTCTTCTCATACCCCAGTAATAAGTAAGGTGTATGTAAGTAAGGAATAACAGAAGTATTAGCTGGACACTTAACGTAAAAAGGTGAACAAACCCCAAACTTAATGATGCAATATTAGAGCTTAAGTTGCCCTCTACAGAGACAATCATGCATGACACATATATTAAATTTTCAATAAAAAATACATACAAACCAACTACTTTGCTTAATCAATGTCCGTCTTTCATGACAGCTCAAAATCAGCCCAGTCAGCGACTCTGCTGCTAACACTGCCAAGAGGTTGTCCATCTGCTGTCTATGTCGGAGTGACTCATCAAACTAAACAGTGTTACCATTAAACAATGATGCACAATGCAAAAAAAAACAAGTTTCCTTTGTTTGTGTGCCATTGTAAAATTCAACAGAAACTGAATGTTCAGGCATTAAGCACAGAATTATGCAGCATATTCTGCAGAACAGTGTTTAATCAGCATGACCTAAATACCCTGCAGACTCTTGTGTGGCCTTGACAGCAATAAGCCTGTCACACTGTCTCACCGTTCATTCAGCCATCTCTGCCGCCACTACAACAGACTCCAAGAAAGTACACCAAGTGCTATCACCGTTATTGAAGCTTACAGGCTATGGACGATAGACACACGCATTGAAAAGATGAGGCGACAGATCAGCATCCACAGTGAAGTAGGTTCAGTCGTGAGGTTCACCTGTTCATATCATCCGATCGATGAAAGCGGGAAAAATACAATAGAGTAAATCTAGCTGGAAGCTAGCAGTCTCTACAGGCGTTTAGTTTCTCTACACATGCATGCTGACGTTTGGAGACGCGGAGAAAAGTGGAAATCGTAATGAATCAACCTGCAACATTTTACTGTATTTTAAAAACACTCGTCATGTCACGGGATGCTGTGAAAGTAATTTATAAAATTGTATTTTTTCTAACATACTGTAATTTCCATCTCGTGGATAAGAATGTACCGCTACCAATGAAACGGGGAGTCTCGCCGACATTGAAATTGTTACAATGGTAACGTAACAAGTTAGTAGTAGCTAGCTTAGTTCATATTTTCGGGACTTATTGCGAAATTGAGAACCTCATTTGCCAGTGTTTTGTTCAAAAATAAGGATAAACAGTCTCAAGTTACTTAACAAAATACTTGAAGGTTAGTGTAAGAAGCAATCTTACCGCTTAAACACATAACGTAAGCTAACACAGACAGTAATGTTACGTGCCACTAAGCTAACAAAACTTAGCAAAGTTAGCAACAGCTAACGCTATTCTTTGCATGTGAAGTGATATGGCGGAGGCGATAATGAAATTAACCCACCCCACTGACAAAGCTAGCCGACAGCTTTAGCAAGCTACTACAGACATCGCTAGAATTAGTTGGATGCAGACCTCTCAACAGCTAGCAGCTAACGCTACTAGCATTGTGTTCACTTCCAGGACGTTACCATATGTACAGACTCAGCGTCAGAAAATGGGACAATTTACGGTTGCTTCGCTTGCTTGTAACTACAAATTCAATTCACCGGGCTCAAATGTCCACCTGGCTGCAAAATGTGTGAATTAAATGCAAACTTTCAGAACCGGTCCACGCTGGTCGAGTGGTATTTTGGTGAAGGAAACTAACTACACGGGACATCACACCGATTTGTTATAAAAAGTTGATAATTTCTAAAAATAAACACTGCTTGGCGTATTATACCCATGCCGAATACAGAAGCAGCCCGGCTGACTACAGCTGTGTAGGAACTAAGCCACAATGTTGGAGTTATTTTCATTTGCCCATCGGCTAAGTCACATTACAATGTTTGATGTTTTAATAGATTTGACGTTCTTCCATGCAAGAGTGGAAGCACGTACGGACGCTAGGCAAGAGCTAGCTTTAGTTAGCGGCTAACCGAACAGACAGCTAGCGGCTAACTAGCCACCTTGCTGTCGAAACGAACAATCACGTTGTGGGGGGGGTGTCTTAAAAATGTAAAACATTCCTTACCTCCCACTCGGTACATGTTGGCCGCCATTCTCTCTTAACCTTTATCAAAAGCAGTCCCAGGGTATTCCCCGCTTGGGTAGAAAAAGGTCGATGGGGATCTATTTTATTCCTTCATTTATCGTAGACACCCCCGCCGCGAAACAAAGCCGGCTCCGGGCACAACAATCCGAGCTGTGGCGGGTAAAAAGTTGAAAGTTTCCGTTAGCAATGCTCCGGAGGTTATTCCCAAAAATACAAGTCTTTGTTTTCGGTCCCTCGGACGACCTTCCTCTTCCTCACTCACTCACTCATTCACACACAGCTAGCCTGTCTCTTACTCCACTCTTCCTCCCATCCTCCGCTCCCAGCTTCATCCTCCTCTTCTTCACCTCCGCTCAGTTCAGCACACACACTCACGCGCAGAAAACACACACTCACTGTCCCCTTCGTTCGTGCGCAAATCGTCATCTTCGGAGATTGTCGACAATCTCCGGTATCTCACATATAACTATTTCTCCGGCCCTGTTTTAATCACACAAACACCATGTTTATGGAATGAAATTACAAAGCATGTAACTTCATATATTTTATAGAGGCCAAAGAAGTTACTGTTGGTGCTTTTTGAGACCAAATGCACATTTACAGAATTGGGGAATTGGTTTTATATGCAAACACGTCTTTATATTACACATGCAGAGAAAAATAAGAGAAAGACAAGCAAGACTACCAGTTTAAAAAAAAAACAAAAAAAACCACGACCCATCAAAATACAATCTCAAAGGTCCCAAAGTAATTTCGTTGGTTTCGATATTATCGTAAGTTACGTAAGAGGCTATAAGTAATAATGTTATATCACCAGTTACACAGAGCTGCTGTGGAGCCAGTAGAGGGACTTGAAGCACATTCTGAGGCTTTAAACCTGGAAATCCATTTCTGACAGGAGAAAATACCATATATGAAATATAAGAACAACAAAAAGAAAAAAAAATACTCATGTTAAGTCAACATTTTTACTTTTTAAGTCAGTATTCAGTATGAGACAGTAATAACTTATAACTTGAGACGTTATGACAAAATAATACTTTGTTACTATAATAATTAAAACTTCAGTGTACTCATAGTTTGTATTTACTATCTCAATATATTGTGACTTGATATCTCAATTAAATTGACTGAAAGTCATTAAATTACAGTCAGTTTTGACTTTCTATGGTTTGTCTATTCTTTGCTATGGAAATGTGATTTTTGTATAATCTTACCATACAATCTCATCAAGTTAACTGAAACAGCTTTAACTGCAATTTAGTATCTGATGTTTCTGGCTAAGAATAAGTTGGTCATCATTTTGACTATACAAAAACTAAATGTTGACCTACAGCTCAAATATTGGGACTTTTTTTTCTCAAGATTTTAAAAGAGAAACTATAACTTAGTATGTATTAAATAAAATTTTAGTGAAAATTTTATTTTTTTCAACTTTAAAAATCAACATTTTGACTACACATCATATAGCTTGGCCTTGTTATGAGTGCTTGAAGTAAATGGACTTCCAGACCGATGTGATAAAACTAACATTTCACAGGAAATGGACATTTTCGGGGGAAAAAAAGTTTAAAATCAAAAAAATTCAACCAAAGAAATCTATTACAGAAATGTTATGTTTGTTATTTTGGCATAGACTTATCCATATTGTCTTTTATTCCTGGAAAAATTTTACAGGTAGAAAAAAATCTAAACCATCTTAAATGGTGCTTATATAGTAATGCATTAGTAATAATCCGTTACTATAATCAATATTTAACAGTAAAAGTGACCCTTCTGCATTAAACATTCAACCTAATTTGGATACTATTCATAAAATCATTTTAAATAAAACATTTATTTTCCAATTCAAGACTGTAGTAATAAATTGCTTTTAGCACTGTGAGGGGTTTGTGACCCTCAGGTTGGAAACAATCAGTTTACCTGCTGTTAATCAATGAAAACAAATTTTTTAGGACTTAAGTTTTAACTGCTGGCGTTGAGTCTAGGGTGGTCTTATGGGGAACATATAGTTCAAAAACATTCAGTTTGTCAGCTCACAGTTCCTGGAGCAGCACTGCCCACTAGTGACAATTCACACACAACACACATTCCAGTCTTCACTTGTTTATTGGGAGTTTAACTGACAGAACATCACAGTATTGCCAACGTTCTTTTAAATATATATAAAACTGTACGAAAGTAATCATTTTCAAGTGTACTGATCTATTTTTAGAGAAAATTGTTAAGTAAGAGATGCTGAGTTGATTTCAGTGGAACAGGTTTGTCACAGTCTTTCTAATGTTAGCATGAAAACAGCCACAGTATCAGCTGAGATGTAATCCAAACACTGTTTACATTTTTTAAATGTGTAAAAACATTTGTATGCAAGCATCAGTATAGGCATGATGGTGTATGCCACAATGCAGCACTTTGTGAAGTTTGGTTAACAAGACAGACTTAAACACTGGGATATTCATCGAAATCAAAGTCTTTGTCACCACAGAAGTCTTGTTTTGCACCAACAAACACACACGACTGCTTCTAATGGTCCTTTCCACATGTGCAACAGAACAACACATATTCTGTATAATGGGAAGCATCACACTATCCAGTTTCACAAGAATTTACATGATTAAAGCGTAACATTAATGCGGATGCTCCTCCAGAAGAGGATCCCTCTACATGTTTTGTATGAAACTGACAGCAGTGGCACCACAGAGGTCAAACTGAGCCAATAACTGACTTCCACACGTTTGTGGCTGTGAGGACACAGCCCCCCTTCTATAATGTTAACAACACCATCCCTGTTTAGCTGGTGGCAGGTTCTGGAGAGCTGGTAGAGGTGGACGAGACTGAGGCTGAGGCCAGTCTCTCTCTGCTTTCCCCTGCCCCGCTCCCGAACACCTTCCACTGAAGGATGCAGGTATCCTTTCCACCCATAGAGAGCAAGTGGGAGTCACTGTGGGTGAAGCAGACGTTGGTAACGTGGCTGCCATGGCCTTCGTATTTGTGGCTTGGTGCCTGGAGAGGAAAGAAAGAGTCCACTTTAGATGAGCACAGGGGAAACCCCATCACACTTGAGACCACCCTTCACCTCCTTGTCTTTAAAGAAGAGTATTAACATGCTAGAAGTGATCTCTCATATTTCTTGGCATTACTTTGAAACAAAGCAGAATGTGAAGTATTTCTTCTCCAGTTTATGTGTCAGCACATTTGTTTTTGAATGTTTCTAAATCTTTAAACTTTCTGATCATTTCAAGTTTTATTCACAATTAAAAACTAAATAATTAGAAATGAGAGTACGTAAAAAGATGATCTGGACAAGTGTTACCTTAGGTTTAGGACAGGGGTACTGGAAGAGGTGCACCTTACAGAAGTCATCAGCCACAGCCACCATTGTCTCATTATGAGAGCGACACAGTGCGTTAATGTCTGTACCGTCTGAGCCCTCCAACCACACACCTGAACACCACAGCAATACAATAAGTGTCACTTGACAAAATAACACAATTATGTTTAGGTCATACAAAACACACCACAAACTGACAGGATAGAGATATTGTACTTAGTGTTTCTCACCCATGACATGGAAGCCCAGCACACAGGTGTAGGAGGCCCATTCTCTGTCCTTGCTCTCATAGCGGTTCCTCAACAGCTTACAGCCTGCTGCTATGTCCCCTGTTAAAACACATCGAAAGTCAGAAATGTAGATAAAAATTCACGCTGCCTGAGGAGTTGACTGCAAAAAATGAACAAAGCTATGCAAAAGTGTTTGGCTTTTTAGATTTTCAGCCATCTGATAGCCTGAAATCCATTCTGCAGCAGGACAAGTCCAAACATACAGCCAGTCATAAAGAAGGGATTACTTGAAACGTCAGACAAAACAGAGACAGCCTCAATCCAAGAAAGAACTTTGGCTCCAACCAACCTGCGAAATACCTTGAGAATCTGTGCGCATTTGTACTGTTGCTGTTTTAAAAGAAAAGGCTGCTCACAGCAAATATTGACCACATTCATTTTCTTTTCTCTTAACTGATTCAATCACTTCACTGATGAGTAATAACAATTCATGGCATTATTTTGTAAAGCATCTTTACCTTATTTTAGTGCCTATAACTTTGCACAGTACTGTATGCGTACTTACAGTATAGGATCTCATAGTCGCCTGAATTAGACATGATGTACTTCCCATCTTTGGACCAGTCCAGGTGAGTTATGAAACTGGAGTGGCCCTGATTTGATAGACAAGCAGAGAAAGTGACACATTAATTAAAGACTTTGAAGATAACACTAATTTTATTCGAGACTTTCTTCACTGTCAACAAATCCCATGTAACGATTATGACCAACAATGTGTTGCTCCATCTCTCAGTACTTATTTTTGCCCCAACCCTGTCCATGATTCTTAGCTCTAAGTTTAATGGTTGCTAGTAGAGCTCTATTTGTTTTCCTAAGCATCACAAACCCGGTGACAATGAAGTGACTATTTTAATCATTTAATTCATTCTGTGAGAGCTGTATCTTTTATGTGATCACATTCATGTGTATGGGAAGCCAGCAGGAAGCTAACCAGCTCAGTGGAGGAGGCTAATGTGTGTGCTCAGTGGGCCGAAAATATGGAAGCATGAAGAGATCTGTTTTTAACAAATCACTCCAACGGGAGGAAATAGTGCATTTACCTTAACTGTTTTCAGCAGCAGTTTAACACACATTTGGGGTTCTAGTGAGTATTTGTTGCAGCAGGATGGTATGTGTCTGTGTGGGCATGTGGACTGAGTTTGGATACAGAGCTTGCAGACAAGAAAACAAATTCAAAATACGACCAAGCTAACTTTTAAAATCCTGTGATATCCTTTGCTTTGTTAGAAAAAACTGGACAAAATCCATGAAACAAATGAACACAATTAAAGATAGATTTGATTTTTAACTCACATTACACTTCCCGAAGCGTGTGTAACGCCGACCACTCTCTGTCACATTGTAGATGTAGATGAAGTTGTCATGAGATCCAACAGCAAGAAAGCTGCCAACTGAAAACACAAGAGGCCATTCATACAGTTAAAGGAAATTTCCACAGTGCTTTTGGGTCCACATTTTTTGATCTTTGTTGCATGCCACCCATTCTGTTTCAATAAATTTCCAGTCTAATGTTTATTTTTTACCAAGACAAATAAATGCCGAAATTCCCTAAACAAACAATAACCTTCTCATAAGAAGCTTTTTGATGCCTCTGATTTTTTTGACTTCTTAACATCCAGAGTACCCTTACAATGGGAACAATCTTAACTCAAGGTTAATTTACAAGCTGTTTCTTGAACTACTAATTTTTATTCCCCAGAACTGCAGTGTTATCTCAACATGAATGTGCTTTGCGTGAAAATGCTAATCAGCAAACCACAAGAATACTGGATGAATACATAAATAACTAGAAAAGCACTCAGAGAGCGCAGACCTCCGCCAAGCAGCTCATTTCCACCACATTGTGATTTCCAGCCAATGTGAAAGTCCTGCATTCATTTTATCTATACTATGGGATTCATGAAGAAGTAGAACGGTCGTTCTGTACTCTCAAATATTTTGCACACTTACATTATTTCTGCAGTTACTTACTGGCTGTTAGCTAACGCTATGCTAGTGCCATAGTTGGCATAACTACAGTGATGTTATTGCTAACATAAACAGACAGGGAGTAACTTAATCTAGATTAGCACAGCTTTAGCAATGCAACGTAAATGAAAAGCATGACCGACGCAATGAAGCACACATCAGTCGTCATGACACATGGCAAAGAGAGTTAAAGTGAAACAGGAGACATGTTGAGCCATTGTTAAAGTCACAACGTCGTTATGAACTCATCTGTCAGTTGCGCCGCTCAGCCCACTACTGTAATGCTGCCTGGCTCTACCTTACTCCTGTACTACTAAGAAAACAGCAGAGAGGACTAAAGGACTGAATGGAGTCAGAGCTCCATCTAGTGGACAAACGGTGCAACGAGAGCATTCTGTGCAACTGTGACACTTAACAGCGTTTACCGTTTTATGACAGAATAACCAGACGGTAAGCCAGAACATCACCAAAATTTTATCATCTCTTCATTGTGCCATTATCAACATTTCCTGAAAATCTCCTGAAAATCTGTTCACAACTTTTCGAGTTATCTGGCTAACAAACAAACAAACCAACAAACAAGCCAACAAACCAACAAACAAACAGATAAACGGCGGCCAAAACACAGCGTCAAACCACACACATCTTTTCCTGCGAAGTTCTTATGGCTGGTGTTAAAACCATCTGTGATTCCTATAGTCATAACACTAGGAGGAGTTTGACATTAAAGAGCTGGTTGTGATGACTGACCTGGTGAATATCTCATGACAGACAGCTGCTCATTCCCATCAGTGGACTCAGAAACTACCTCCCTGGTCAGCAGGTCAAGGACCATCCACCTGTTAAGTGTTAAAAGAAAATGGAAGAGGTTTACTAGGACAGAGACAGGCAGGTAGAGACTCATCAGTGATTGTAACAGAACAGAAGGTGGGCTGCTTATTTGCTAGTAATAGTTCTTCAAGGCAAAATGGCTGCCTAGTGTTTTTCCAGTTTGTTTTGAGTCATATCTTTGCAAAGGCATACATTAGTGATTCCCAACCTTTTTTGTTTATCGTTTTTGTTCATGTACCCTCGCAGATAAACCCATTATGTGCTAAATGTTCACTTGTATAAAATTATTGGGATGTCATGGAACTATTCATGTTATGAAATGTATAAAAAAAAAAAAATTGTTAGAATATTTTCAGGGCTATTTTTTTTAGGTTGCCATTCATACAACTGGCAAAAGAAGAGCATTATTTTTAGTTATTTCAATCCTTGGCCTTTATTTTTGGCTATTTCACCCATTAAGTATTTGTTGCTTTTAGAAAATTAAACCATTACTTTACTTTTAGTATTTTCAACCCCTGGTCATTAACTTTAGCCATTTCAATCCTTCAGCTGCTTTTGCTTGAACTATTTCAACTACTAAACCATTTCAACCACCTATTTAAACAATAGGCATAATTTTTTGCATACTTTATTACTTCATTTGCAGTGTGTCAGCCACACTAAAGCACCCCTGGACCAGACAGGGTTAAGGACCTTGCTCAAGGGCCCAAACGTGGCAGTTTGGTGGTGCTCGAGCTTGAACCACCTTCTGATAAGTAAAGTCTTAACCACTAATCCACCACTACCCCCAACAATTACTGTTAGCTACTTCCACCATTAGCCTCTGCTTTAAAGCATTTCAAATTTTAGCTTTTGCTTTTAGCATTTTTAAATATTAGGCACTGCTTAGTTATTTTAACCATTAGACATAACTTTAAGCTATTTCAATCATTCGCCATTACTCTTAGCCATTTTGACCTTAAGTGACTTTTGCTTTTAACTATTTCAATAATTAGCTCTTGCTTTTAGCTATTTTAAACATTCACCATTTTTTGCAGAACGAATACTTTAGATCGTTTCGATTATGCAGTATATATATATTTTTTAATTTCTATTTTTTAAAATGATGTTCATATACATAATTTTCTAGTAAAGACAGAAATAAAATGATTTTATGTCATTCTTTTTAGTTTAAGTTGTGTAGAAGACTTTGTGCAAGATTACCTTCCTGTGCTGAGTCCAACTGAAACCACTGATCCATTAGGGCAGAAGTCAGCACACAATCCATACTCCTGCCAGAGATCACAGAAATCTTTTAGTATAAGAACTTACTTTGCTAAAAATATTCTGATTGTCAATAAACTGAGTCCTTATAGTATGACAGTTGAATACCAGGGGAACAGAGTCCTACCTCCAGGGTGATACACCAGTCTAGCTTGTGTTCCTCTGTGTTCCACAAACACACCTGCCTGTCATGACCACAGGTGAGGAAGATGTTCTGAGAGGGATGTGTAGCTAGTCCCCACATCTCATCTACATGGCCCTGAGACACACACACACAAACA